ATCCTAGTCCCTTAACACTCCTGCTCCAACCTGGGGCTGTCATTCCACTCCGTGGCCTGTCATCCCAGTTCCAGAACACTCCTGGTACGCCCTGGGGCCGTCATTTCACTCTTGGCCCTGTCATTCCAGTCCCTGACCACTCCTGGTACACCCCAGGGCTGTCATTCCTCTCTTGGCCCTGTGGTTCCAGTTCCAGAACACTCCTGGCACACCCTGGGGCTGTCATTCCACTCCGTGGCCTGTCATCCCAGTCCCTGAACACTCCTGTACCACTCTGGGGCCGTCATTCCACTCCGTGGTCTGTCATTCGAGTTCCTGAACACTTCTGCTCCACCCTGGGGCCATCATTCCACTCCGTGGCCTGTAATCCCAGTTCCTGAACACTCCTGCTCCACCCTTGGGCCATCATTCCACTCCGTGGCCTGTAATCCCAGTCCCTGAACACTCCTGCATCACTCTGGGGCCGTCATTCCACTCTGTGGCCTGTCATTCGAGTTCCTGAACACTCCTGCTCCACCCTGGGGCCATCATTCCACTCCGTGGCCTGTAATCCCAGTCCCTGAACACTCCTGCTCCACCCTGGGGCTATCATTCCACTGTTGGCCCTGTCATCCCAGTTCCTGAACATGCCTGCTCTATTCTGGGGCTGTAATTGCACTCTTGGCCCTGTCATTCGAGTTCCAGAATACTCCTGCTCCACCCTGGGGCTGTCATTCCACTCTCGGCCCTGTCATCCTAGTCCCTTAACACTCCTGCTCCAACCTGGGGCTGTCATTCCACTTCGTGGCCTGTCATCCCAGTTCCTGAACACTTGGTACGCCCAGCAGCTCTGCCAGGGGAGGCGGGGAAACTCTCGTGCCCCATCTGCCAGCGCTGGGAGATGGGGCGTGAGGGGCAGCAGCAGCCATTTGGATTTCAAAGGCACCCCTCCCAAGCTCCAGGTCACTTGAAACCCCAGGCCCCCAGTCATTTGAAGCGCCATTACAGTGAATCTATTAATCTGCCAACAGTTTCAAATCGGCTTCATATCAAGGTGGCTCTGTTCCTGCATGACGCCACACCGATTGATAAATTTATTGATTGTGTCTCTTCCAACAATACTTGGCGATCCCCCCCCCCCCCCCCGGCAGGTTTTACCTCCCTCTTAAAAATTTTGGGGCCCCCCCCCCCCCCCGGATGAATTTGCAATCTGCTCTGTTCTGGATAGGCCAGGCAAGCCCGGTCTCTTCAGACGCTGGAAGCCAATCCGGCCGACCCTTGCAAGTATTTGGATTGGATACCTCCAAGGAATACCAGGGCCCGGACGCAGAGGTGGACTATCAAGCCACTTCTCTCAACAGCCCGGTAACCAGAGACTCTGCCTTTCCTCCGTGCCCCGGTAGAAGTGGCCAGAGGCCGCCATGACTTCCAGGTATGGGCACCTGCGGACACACACACACACATAGGCAAAAATACAAAAAAAAAAAGTCAAAAAAACCCGGGACGTACTAACACTAAGGAGAGCGATTGCCCATAGGGAATACATGAGTGCCCATAGAGCATAATGGAGAGTAGCCTTGCCCAGAGGGGGAAATGGAGAAAATAATTGCCAACAGAGAATCCATGATTGCTCATAGGGATGTAATTGCCAACAGAGAATCCATGATAGCCCATAGGCAATATTGGCCAGAGGTCACTCCGGCTCCCCCAGCCAGGTATTGTTAGTGGTTCTGTAATGTACTCCGCCATGACCACGTGCGCGACCGTTGGGCCATGCGGTCATGCCGAACAGCAGAGCTTCGCTCCCCTGAGAACAATAGCCGAGCGGATCCTAGCCTGCACCAATCAGAGGGCCAGGTCCGCGGCCGAGAGCCTATGGGACTCTCGGCCACTGTAAATAGCCTATAGAGTAATAGGGGGTATGTTTAGGTGGTGGGTTTTCTGGGCATAAATACCGGCCTGCGAGCCGGCAGTCCTTGTCTTGTTCTATCCTAATAAAAGTACTTGCTGAAATCACTCAACGCTTCTCAGTACTTTTCACTGGCGACGAAGGTGGGATTCTACCTTCCCTGAACACGACCCGGAGGAGACCAAGCCTGCACCGAGCTCCGATCGCACCGAGACCCCGCAGCACCGCCGCCTGTCTTGGAATCACCGCTCATCGCATCGCGCCTTGCTCCGTAAGCCACACAAGCAAGCTCCGCTCGCCGTTGCGCCTTGCCTCGTGTCGCTCCGCAAACCTCACTCGCCGCCTCCGCTAGCCGCTTCGCTTCGCTTCACTTCACTACCAAACAAGCGAACTAGAGAAGATGTCTTCTCCAGCCACCACTTTGTCCTCCTCTGCCTCCTCCTCCGCCTTAACCTCTCCCGAGGGCCTCGCTCGTTTCGATCTCTCTCATCCCTAGCAATGGGAAACGTGGGTAGTGATCCTAAACAACTACCTGACCTGCTTGCAGATCACCGACGCAGGTATGAAGAGGGCCCATCTCATCCGCTTCTGTGGGATGGATACCCTCCTTCTCCTGCAGGATCTGATCACACCCAAGAAGGTGGAGGAGGAGAGCTTCGATGTGCTCGTCAAGACTCTCACCGACCACCTCGCTCCTAAGCCCACTAAGTTTGTGGAACGAATGGACTTTTTCGCTAGAGTCCAAGGCCCAGAGGAGAGAGCCGCCGAGTTCCTGGCGGGCCTCCGACGGGCCACCACACAGTGTGCTTTCCCCAGCCTAGAGGACACACTGCTCAACCGGTTCCTGGTGGGCCTTTGAGAGGCGAAACTGAGGAGACGCTTGGTTAGGCAGGACGACCTGATGCTGGCCAAGGCGCTGCAGGACGCAGCAGCTTTCGAGAAAACGCATCAAGGCCGCGGCGGAACCGCGGTCCACCGCACCCAAGCCGTTCTGGAGTCGGCCGACTCCGAGGAAGATGAGGTTCTTTAAATTCACTGGAAACCCTCGCCACCGCACCGCTCGAGGGGAGCCCCACCAATGAGGACATCTGAGCCAGCCCCACCATGTGCCAGCTGCGGAGAGGCGCATGAGCGCCGGAACTGCTGTTTCCGTGACGCCGTCTGCAGGGCCTGCAACAAGCAGGGCCACATCGCCAAGGTCTGCCGCAGCCGCCAACAGCAATCCAAGAAGTCAGCACACCAGGCGGAGCTGATCCACACCGTGAACCTGCACTCCATTGACCTCCATGCCGTTGCCCACCAGCCCCAGTCCCAGGTAGGTGAAATGCCCGGGGACAGCCGAAACAAAGTCCATGTTTCGGTCCTGATAGAGGGGTCCCCCTGTAGCATGGAGATAGATACCAGCTCCGAGTTTACGATAATCTCGGAGGAGACACTGCAGAAAGTGTGTCCCAAAGGGGGGCCCCCTCTGCGCAAGCCACACTTTAAATTGCAGGATTTTAATAAGAATCCAGTGGCTGTGCGGGGCTGGGGCAAGTTCATGGTAGAGTTTCAGGATTTCAAGGGACACCTGGACATTGTAGTGGTGGGCGGTCGACTTTCCAGCCTCCTAGGGATGTCCTGGTTTGAGCCACTGGGCTTAACCATCAGGGGGCTCCACCAGTTGCAGCGGGTTGATTTCATGGACGTTTGCAATGAGTTCCCGCAGGTTTTCGAGAAGTCCCTCGGCCGGTTCACAGGGACGCCCATCTCCCTCGACTTGGACCCAGCGGTCCGCCCCATCCGGATCAAGGCCCGGCAATCCGCTATCACTATGAGGCCAAAGATCGAGGCAGAACTGGACCGGCTAGTGGCCCAAGGAGTGCTGGAACCCGTAGCGTCCGCCCGGTGGGAAACCCCAATCGTTACACCGGTGAAGCCAAACGGGGACGTGAGGATCTGTGCAGACTATAAGTGCACTCTGAACAAAGCGCTGCAAGACCATGCGTACCCCGTACCGGTGGTCAGCCACGTGCTGGCAGCACTCACACGGGCCCGCATCTTCGGGAAGTTGGATTTGGCGCAGGCTTACCAGCAGTTTCCGGTGGACGCTGCCATGGCGGAAGCCCAGACAATTGCCACTCATAAGGGGGCTTTCAGGGTCCACCGGCTCCAGTTCGGGGTTTCTGTGGCACCGGGGATTTTTCAATCTTTTATGGATTCTCTCCTCAAAGGTATCCCCGGAGTACAACCCTTTTTAGACGATGTGTTGATCGCCGCCCCTGACTCCGCCTCTTTTGCCAACCGCCTCCGCACCGTCCTCCGATGCTTCGACCAAGCTGGGCTGAGGGTGAAGTGAGAGAAATGCCTGCTGGGAGTCCCCAAAGTAGATTTCCTGGGGTTCGCGGTGGATGCACAGGGCATCCATCCCACGACGGAGAAAACGACGGCGATCTCCAACGCTCCAGCCCCCACGTCTAAAGTCGAACTTCAGGCCTTCTTAGGCCTACTAAACTTTTACCACTCGTTTCTTCCCTTAAAAGCAGCAGTAGCAGAACCCCTCCATCGGCTTCTGGACAAGGGCGCGCCATGGGTCTGGGGATCAACTCAGAAGGCGGCGTTCAAGGCAGTAAAGGACCTGCTCGTCTCGAACTCGGTCCTCGCCCATTTCAACGAGGACTTGCCGGTGGTACTGGCCTGTGACGCCTCTCCTTACGGGGTCGGGGCGTTCCTGGGGAACAAGCTGCCGGACGGTCGGGAGGTCCCAGTGGCCTACTACTCTCGAACCTTGTCGGCAGCCGAGCACAACTATGCGCAAATAGATAAAGAGGCACTGGCAATAGCGGCCGGGGTGAAAAAATTTCACCATTACCTTTACGGCTGGCCTTTCACGGTCTTAACTGACCACAAGCCTCTTCTGGGTCTGCTTGTCCCGGACCGCCAGACCCCCCAGATGACCTCGCCCAGAGTGATCCGGTGGTCTGTCTTCCTGGCGGGCTACAACTACTCGCTTCTCCACCGGCCCGGGAAAGCGATGGGGCACGCCAACACCCTGAGCCGCCTACCGCTGCCCACGACGGACCCGGACCCTGCCCCCGCCCACCAGATCGCACTCCTGGAGTAGCTGCCTGATCAGCCGGTGCACGTCGGGGAGGTCGCTCGTCGCACCGCCAAGGATCCACTCCTCTGTCGCGTCCTAGACTGGGTGAGAAGGGGGTGGCCAGCGGCCGCAGTGGGTCCCAAGTTTTCGGCATTTGCCACCCGCAAAGACGAGCTCTCAGCACACAAAGGTTGTGTGATGTGGGGGGGCCGGGTGGTGATTCCCTCCCCACTCTGGGACAGGGTGCTGGCCGCCTTGCACGAGGCCCACCCTGGCGTGGTACAGATGAAAGCCTTGGCCCGGAGTTACGTGTGGAGGCCGGGCCTAGACCGAGACATTGAGGGGCAAGTAAAGCAATGCCAGCCCTGCCAGGCCTCACAGCCGGACCTGCCCCGAGTTCCCGCAAGGGCTTGGGAGTCATCTCACAAACCCTGGTCCCGGCTGCATTTGGACTTCGTGGGGCCATTCCAGGGGCAGATCTTTTTCATACTGGTCGACGCCTACAGCAAGTGGCTGGAGGTGGTGCCAGTGCCGACAATTTCATCTCAGACGGCTATCCGAGCAATGTGGCGCATCTTCAGCGCCCAGGGCCTCCCGGACACTTTGGTTACGGACAACGGGACGGCCTTCACCTCAAGTGAATTTCAAGAATTCACCAGGTACAACGGGATCCGCCACGTCTGATCCGCGCCCTTCCATCCGGCAACAAACGGGCAAGCAGAGCGCATGGTGCGCACCACCAAGGAGGCGCTCCGCCGATTCGAGAGCCACGACTGGGAGTATAAATTGGCAGTCTTTCTTTTCGGCCAGAGGAACACGCCACACATGGAGACGGGCCACGGTCCTGCTGAGCTTCTGCTGGGTCGCCGCCCCACCTCCCGGCTCGATCGGCTGCACCCGGACCGAGCACCCGAGGAGGAACCCGCCACCGAAACAGCAGAGGCAGCCCGAGGATTCTTCCCTGAAGATTTGGTGTACGCGAGGAACTATGCCAAAGGTCCGCCCTGGATACCCGCACGAGTGGTCCGTGTACGAGGGCCTCGGACATACGAGGTCTCCTGCAAGGACGGGCAGCTGCTTCACCGCCACATAGATCAGCTGCGGCGGAGGGTTCTCCCCAACGACCCCGAGGATCTGGATTTTCCAGAATCGGCCGAATCGCCCAGCCCTGTTCCCGAGCCGCCGATCCCGGCACCCCTGCTAGGCCCCCCGCCACCCGGCTCCAGGACAGCACGCCACCTCCGTCACCGGCCGGCCTGGTACCGAGCTCCCTGCCAAGACCTCAGGCAAACCCTGCGACCCCGACTCCCAAGCTCCGACGTTCCACACGAAACCGGACAGCCCCGGCTTATCTCCAAGACTGTGTGTGGGTAGTCTGGACTATGGGGGGAGGGGTGTAATGTACTCCGCCATGACCACGTGTGTGACCGTTGGGCCATGCGGTCATGCCAAACAGCATAGCTTCGCTCCCCTGAGAACAATAGCCGAGCGGATCCTAGCCCGCACCAATCAGAGGGCCAGGTCCGCGGCCGAGAGCCTATGGGACTCTCGGCCACTGTAAATAGCCTATAGAGTAATAGGGGGTGTGTTTAGGTGGTGGGTTTTCTGGGCATAAATACCGGCCTGCGAGCTGGCAGTCCTTGTCTTGTTCTATCCTAATAAAAGTACTTGCTGAAATCACTCAACGCTTCTCAGTACTTTTCAGGCTCTTTAAAGAGTTATGGTTGGAGGTGGCCTGCAGGCGGCAGCAACGGCCGTGGGGGGAGTGGCATCGGTGTCCTCAGCCGCCGAGCCCCGCCACCCTTAAGACCAAGTTTTATTCAGGTACAAGCTCTCCCTCCTCTGCCAGGACAGATCTGCACGTTCCCCCCCCCCAATAGCTAGCCATCCAAAACAGTTCAGTGGAGCCTGAGCGGTGGGTGTTGCCTTCTGACACACTTCCGGTGATGTCAGGGGGTGTGGCATATGCAAATAAGTCATCCTAATGAGTTCCTGCACCTCTTTTTCTACGAAATGGCCCCTGAGCAGCTCAATTGTGCTTCGGTAGGGCTACCAGCATTCACATTATTATTATTATACAACCGTTCTAGAAGCAAATAAGAACTATATTTTTAATCCTATGCAAAAGATTTCTATAAAAATACAAGGTGGGATGAGCAAAAAGTATAATTAGATTTTGCATGAGGTAACTAAACAGACAATTCAGTGATGTAACCAGGGCTCTTTCTGTAGCAGAAACCCCTTTGCATATGAAAAGTACGCAGACAGACGAGTGATTTCAGCTTAGCGTACTTTATTTGGTGTAGAACAAGACAACTTTAGCCAGCTCGCAGGCTGGCTTATATCCCCCGTGATATACCCCACCCTCTACTACCCAAAGGTGTCTCAGAGCGGCTTACAATCTCCTTTCCCTTCCCCTCCCTACAAGAGACAACCTGCGAGGTAGGTGGGGCTGAGAGAGCTCTGACAGAAACTGCTCTTTTTCAAGAACAGCCCTGACAGATCTATGGCTTGCCCAAGCTCATCCAGCAGGTGTAAGTGGAGGAGTGGGGAATCAAACCCGGTTCTCCCAGACTAGAGTCCATGCACTTAACCACTACACCAAAGTGGCGTCCCCTTCCCCCTTAGTCGTCTCTTTTCTAAACTGAAAAGTCCCAGACTCTTCCGCCATTCCTCATGGGTAAGGTGCTCCAATCCCTTAATCATCTGAGTTGCCTCCTTCTGTGCTTTTTCCAGCCCTGTGATGCCCTTTTCAAGATACGGTGGCCAGAACTGTACACAGTATTCCAAAAGAGGCTGCACCATAGATCTATACAGGGGCATTTGATTAGCAGCCGTTGCCTTTTCTATCTTATTTTTATTTTATTGGATTCATATCCTGCCCTCCCCTTGATGGGCTCAGGGCAGGTTCCAGCAATAAAAGTACAATACAGTTAAACTCATTTTAAAACACAGTGTAAAATAACATGACATAACAACACAGAAGTCATAAGTACCGGATCACTCTAATAAAAGTCAGATGCTTCAGTGGCTGATGATGTTAAAATCAGTTTTTGTCATCGAGATCTTTACATTTAGGATCCCAAGGACCCAGGCTACAGATAGACCCAGGCTACAGATGGAAGGGGCCCAAGGGGGAGGAAGTCCACTGCCTCAACCAAAGGCCCGGCGGAAGAGCTCCGTCTTGCAGGCCCTGTGGAATTGTAATAAATCCCACAGGGCCCTGACCTCACACGGGAGCTCATTCCACCAGGCAGGGCCCAGTGTTGAGAAAACCCTGGTCCTAGTTGAGGCAAGCTGGACGTCCCTGGGGCCGTGGACCACCAAAAGATGTTGATTGGTGGACCTCAGTGCTCTACGGGGCTCATATGGGGAGAGGCGGTCTCGAAGGGATTTTAATAATCCCTAACATAGAGTGTGCCTTTTTCCACTGCTGCGGCACACCGGGTGGACACTTTCATTGAGCCGTCCCCTACGACCCCAAGATCTTTCTCTCAGTCTCAACGAGTTCTGATCCCCATTAGTCTATCCAGGACGCTGGGATTTATTGTCCCCATGTGCAACACCTTACACACTCAGCAGACACCTAAGTTCATTTCCCGTAATACTTCTAATTCATCAAGTCAGTCAAGTGATAATATCACACAAAAGTATTTCAGGCATATTCTTTCTTTCACATTATTTAAAGTCTGCCTTTCCCGTGTGGATTCAAGGCAGACTGTGCAGAGGAAGTCAATACAATCGACTGAAGGAGAGACTCGGTAGATAACGCAGTCGGTTGCAGAACCAAGCGGAGGTCTAAAAACGGAGCAGGAGCGAAGCCCAGGTAGTAACACGACGCGTGGAATGGTGCCAAAATTACCCCGTCGGAGCCTTGCCGGGCAGGCCCATTTGCAGGCTGGCATCCAGAAGGCCCTGCTTGGGTTCTATACTCTTGAACCTTAGAAAGGAAACTGCTTTATCTACTATACAAAGAAAAAGAATTGCTTTATTAGTATTCGCAGCCAAAGAAGAAGATTGGATTTATACCCCACGGCCCTTCACTACCCAAAAGTGTCTCAGAGCGGCTGAAAAACTCCTTTCCCTTCCCCTCCGCACAACAGACAAGAGCTGAGAGAGCTCTTGACAGAAACTGCTCTTTTTTCAAGGACAGCTCTTATCAGAACTACGGTTTGCCCAAGGTCATCCAGCCAGGTGCAAGTGGAGGAGTGGGGAATCAAACCCCGTTCTCCCAGGTTAGAGTCCACACATTTAACCACGACACCAAACTGGCTCCATAGCTTCAAAATGGAAGTCAGAAATTAAACCATCACTAAAGTTATGGTACAAAAAGTTATGGAACTTCTACATAGTGGAAAAAATATCCGACATAATGAATCCAAAAAAATCTAATGCCGAATATAGTGAATTTACAATGATATGGCTACCGATCTTCTCTGATCTAGTGTCTCAAGGAACAAGACCAGAGATCATAAGAACATCAGAGACGCTAATGTTGGATCAGGCCAAAGCCCCATCCAGTCCAACACTCTGTGTCACACAGTGGCCAAAAATACTAGGTGCCATCAGGAGGTCCACCAGTGTGGCCAGGATATTAGAAGCCCTCGCACTGTTGACCCCCCCCAAGCCCCTATCTATACCTTGTGGCTAATAGCCACTGATGGACCTCTGCTCCATATGCTTATCTAATTCCCTTTTGAAGCCGTCCATGCTTGTAGCCGCCACCACTTCCTGTGGCAGTGAATTCCATGTGTTAATCACTCTTTGGGTGAATAAGTACTTCCTTTTATCCGTTCTAACCCGACCGCTCAGCAATTTCATGGAGTGCCCACGGGTTCTTGTATTGTGAGAAAGGGAGAAAAGTACCTCTTTCTTTACCTGCTCTTTCCCATGCATAATCTTATAAACCTCGATCATGTCACCCCTCAGTCGTCTTTTCTCCAAGCTAAAGAGCCCTAAGCGCTTTAACCTTTCCTCATAGGGAAAGTGTTCCAACCCTTTTATCATTCGAGTTGCCCTTTTCTGCACTTTTTCCAAAGCTATAATATCCTTTTTAAGGTGTGGTGACCAGAATTGCACACAGTATTCCAGATGAGGTCGCACCATTGATTTATATAGGGGCATTATGATATTGACTGATTAGTTTTCAATACCCTTCCAAATAATCCCCAGCATAGCATTGGCCTTCTTTATTGCAGTCACACACTTTATTGCAGTCACACATTTGCCATGTTGACGCCCACTCACCCATCCTCGACAGATCCCTTTGGAGTGCCTCACAATTCTCCCTGGTTTTCACCACCCTGAACAACTTTGTATCATCCACAAATTTAGCCACTTCACTGCTTACTCCCAACTTCAAATCATTAATGAACAAGTTAAAAAGCAGTGGACCAAGTCCCTGCGGTACCCCACTGCTTACCACCCTCCACTCTTCACACAGACACTCTTCGTTTGTGGTAAATGTTGATGTCAACACTAAGCTTATGAAAAATGCTTTCTTTTATGCTGTTAAGTTTAAGTACACTTATCTTGTCAACGATTGCTATTACTTGTTATTGGAATTTTGAAAACTGAATAAATTATATTAGAGAGAGAAAAAGAAGGCCCTGCTTGGGTGAGTAAGGCTGCTGCCGCAGCAGATCATGGAGGGAGAGGCTGTCCCACAGACAGGAAAGGCCCGGCCTGTGAAGGGCTCTGTACGGGAGAGCTGGCACTTGAAATTGAACCTGGTAACTGATGGGCAACCAACAGAATGATGGGAGTAACAGGCCATCTCCTTTTAGCTCCCCGTAAAAGTCTTGGTGCGCCATTCTGCACCAACTGGAGTCTCCAAACTGATTTTTGGGGGGGACCTATGTAGAGGGCATTGCAGTAGTCCAGCCTTGAAGTTAGCGTGGCATTGGATCCAGGTGGTCAGATAGGCCCAGTCAAGGCCACCTTGGGCTGTGGTCACATACATGAAATAATCCACCTGCGATCCACTTTCAGGGCACTTTCCAAATGGATTTTACTGTGTGAACTGGCAAGATCCAGTTGGGAAGGGCACTGAAAATGGATTATTTAGCGTATGTGACCGCAGCCTCGCAGACTAGACTGAGGTGGAAGAAAAGTGTTTTTCTGCAGTGGCATTAACGCCTCCAGCAACAATGCTGCAATCCAGTATAACCCGGAAACTCTTGAACCCCACCAAAAATGGGAAGCGCAATACTGGTCCTCAGGCCTCCCCAACCAACATCGTGCCTGAGTGAAGCTCCCCTTTGCATTTTAAGGTTTTTTCCCCTCTCTGGGCAGAGAACAGGCTGAGAAGGAGGAAGTCACTCGATGGCTTTCCAGGCTCACCTCAGCTACCTCTTAAGAAATGCTAATAGGTC